CAAGTGCTTTCTGACGCAAACTAATGAGGTACTTCAACTTTCGGTTTACCCAGGCCGGCTCGTTAGGATGAATGGTCTTCTTTTTTAATGGGAGAAGAATATTAACACCAGTGTTGACAACGTTCTCTAACATTCTAACTTTACCATCGCAAGTGTCGTTACTGCTAATCAATGAATTGATGTTTACTTCCTCCAGATATGTTCGCATTGCTAAACGCTTTGTAGGTCGTACATCTCTTGACATGATTGTGATCTTGGATTTGGGATGCTTAGTTCGCTCTAAAGGCTGAACTTCTATGGAGTAATGATCGGACAGACCAAAAGCAGGACGTTGGATAGGTGAATCGTAGAATTTGTTTAGATTTGTAAAGACAGGATCCAAGGTGTTGGCCCCACGCGTTGGAAAATAGACAATCTGTTGTAATTTGAAACAAGTTTTTAGGCGTGAACATTTCTTGAAAAGACTTTTGTTGAAATCACCAAGTAAAATAACACCACATCCAGGGAATCGAGATTCAATTAGAGATAAACAATCGTAGAGGTAGTCGAGCATAGGCGTATCAGTCGCGCTAGGTGAATGGTATAATGTTCCTATAACAATACAAGTGATTCCTCTTGGGAGCCGTGATGGTCGTAGTTGAGTCCAAAGCACTTTAAATTGATCGTTCATAATATCTTCAAGAACTTTGAACTGGATAGATTCTTTGATGTATACGCATACTCCACCATGCTCTGCGTCGTAACGGTCACGACGTATTACGTTATAAMCCGAGATTGCGATGACATTATTGTCGATGTGATCTTTCAACCATGTCTCAGTTATGCAGACAAGGTCGAAATTTGCATGGCGAACAGTTTCACGAACCTCATCGATTTTTGGGGCTAAGGACATCACATTTGACAGCATAAATGATGGAACAAACAGATGTTTTGAGGATTTAGATTGTGTCTTAGTAGGGATGGTGATAAGATTGTTAAAATTGCGACTTTGGCCGTATGCTGATCTTGCAGTAACTGGGACATKGTTCACTGCTCCAGAAGATATGACTTTGATTTGTTGTTGGTCAGAGCAAGTTGAATCTTGAATAAATGCTGGAATGCTGGTGTTTTGATCGTAGCAGTCAGAGGTGTTAACTTGAAAATTTAATAATGTCGARGTTCCATTATGCAAATTTCCTTCATCTTGGGTGGAATAAGACAAATTAGATGGCAAAGTTCCACTACTTGAACAGTCAAATAATGTTGTAGGTGAAGAATTGAGTTCAGGAAAAGTTCTTGATTTCCACTTCCTTACACCTGCACGACAGCCTCGCCGAGTGGGTTTAGTGATTGAAATTCCAATGTTGCACAATGAACGCCAAAGATTTGGTTGGAGCGTAGTTCTTGTCAGTCCGTTAGATAAAGCTACTAAAGCAGCTCTGCTATAAGTTAAAGCCATAAGGCATAGATGTAATAAACAAAATAGTTTCATATGAGAATAGTTGTGCTACAAAAGACACAAAATTGGAGAGAAGTGTGATAGTTATGAAAACCGCCCTGCAGATAAGTCAGGGAGCAAATGTCATAATTTGGAGTTACGTGGAAAATCGATGTTTAAAACAAGAAGCCTGTCTAGTTATCTTTAAAGGACATCGGAGAACATGTTGAAACTTGTCGCCAGCTTTGAAAGTCGCACAGGGCTAAATTAGGGGAGTTTAAATTACCACTAGTAAAAATACAACATGAAAACGAGGCTCTAGCTTTATTGCTTCTATGTTATATTTCTCTAGCATTGAACAAGTTGAAATGGATCAGAATATCTAGGTTAGTCTTCGTTTTGCACCATAGCTCATTTTAGGGGGGTCACGTGACCATAAACATGAAATCGAGGATCTAATCTTCATTGCTTACATGTTTATCATTTCTTAAGGCAAAACATGTCAGAATTGGTTCATAATATCTAGCTTACCTTATGAATAGAGAGCTTTAGCATGACGTTCATGACAAACTGCAAACGGCAGAAAAGATCCCGTGACCAGTTTTTTTAGGTTTTACCGTTACAGTTTCAACGCCAGAGTGGGTAATTTTGAGTTTGCCATAATTGTGGACACTCGCTCTTTCCAATGACTATCAAAAGCACAAGGTCAGGCACGAAATCCTTAGGTCATTGGTTCAGCTTTGCCGTTAGTCGTTAGCCGTAAACGTGATGCTTAAACTTTCTAATAATACTTTGTATGCTGTTTTAAGCTGTCACATGATTATTTGATACATGAAAGTGAGTCTTAAAAATTTATATAAACATTTTGCTATATAACATACATACAGCCTTTTGCACAAATTATGAGACATTTTTATATATAGAAATATACCTAACCAAATATCAAAAACACCCCAGAAATTATGGTATATCTCTATTATATTTTGTCATGATTGGCTAGCATCAGGTTGTTACAGACAAAATATCAGCGACGGTATCCCATACTTTCTTGGGTGTTTTTGATATTTGGTTAGGTATATTTATATATATATAAAAATGTCTCATAATTTGTGCAAATGGCTGTATATTATATATATTTAACCATTGAAAATATTGCATATGTCTGCCAGTGTCTCCATTTCAGAATCATCACTGTCGTCAGATACAACATCATCTTCATTACCATCGTCATCATCCTTCATATTTTCCCAGGCATCATCATCATCATTACAGCAGGCACACAATTGAGTGCAGGTAAGACCAGCTTTACGACATTGACATCGGTTGGTGTTACATCGGTGCTTGGAGCATCCACATTTCACTAGCTCAATGATGGCTTCTGGAGCTGGCAGCTTCTTTGTCATCTCTGGAACCCATCTGCCACTGCTGTCGATTTTCCAGCCAAAACCATCAGGCGTTGGAAGTTCTGGAGAGGATTCAATGTCGTTCTTCCATATCAAGGTTTCGTAGTTTGTTCTTAGTACAGGATTACGTAAAGCTTCTTGGGTTGGTGGTAAGCGTTCTGATTGTGCCTGAGTGTTCTTGAACAAGGACCACCTTAACTTCCCTACATCTGAAATGGCACTGTTTAGTCGATACAGTTTGCAGACAAACTTCTCGATACCTTTCATAGTACGCTCATGTGGTTCATCTGTAGTTCCAAGACTTTTTAGAGCGGAAATCCTATCATCCTATTTCGCTTTGGTTGCATACGTCTTCTTTGACTTTCTCATCCACAACAGATTTTGTGATCAAGTTAAAGAGAGAATCACTATTTTCTTCAAAGGGGTCAGTAAAACTTTCAATTGTGGTTTTCATCTGTGTGACGGCTTTCTCTTCTCTTATCCTGACAGCGTCGGTCAAGTTATGGTGATCCTTGTTTTGCTTTTTAAGGTTTGATAGTCCTGCCATATTCTTTGCTTCACTCGAAAAGGAATATACCAGCATTTCGAACCATATGCTGTAAAACATTCTGTTTTACATTCTTGACCTCAACTCTAAGGATCCTGAATTTTTTCATTTAAATATAAGTAACATACTAGTTTAAAACAGTGAAATTATGAATTTCTTACCTGTTATATTCTACACACATCACAAAACCATGAAGCATATTAACAATCTCTGCTTCTTACGGATTGCCACACAGCCAAGCCAACTGCTAAGTGTTGAGGCATCTCTTTCCTGGACTTGAATACTTGTGACTTTCAGTTTCTTTCCTGTCGCTGGGTAAGGCACATTGTAATTATGGTCTGAGATAGACTTAATGCTCGCTTTTGTATCTCTGCGGACTTCTGTGTGCTGTTACTTTCACTTGCTGCTCCATTGATTAACCATCTGCTGAATAAGGTAAGCTCTTCTGGAATGTGTTCTTTATTTACATCAGTAAACGAACCAGTGAAGTCCCAGGCTTTGTATTTGTTAATAGATTTCCTCAATATAGACGCTGCATCAAAAAGGATCTTCATTTCTTCATCATAATCATTCCCTGGACTTTCTTCGGATCCTTGACAATCCTCTAACAATCGAACAGTAAAATCACACGCACTTTTGATTGTCACTCCGATTGTCATTTCCGATTCATTCAAGCTTTTTACTTAAACCGAATGTAAAGCTTCTCAGATAAGTTTAAAATATTGTTATTATACTTAGCTTTTAATTTTTTGAAAGTTTGGCTAAAGAACTCCCTAAATTAGATTCATAGAAAAGTGTTAAATTTTCAAGCCTCACTTTCATGTATCAAATAGTCATGTGACAGCTTAAAACAGCATACAAAGTATTATGCATAAGGTAAGCTAGATATTATGRACCAATTCTGACATGTTTTGCCTTAAGAATGATTAACATGTAAGCAATGACAAGTAGAGCCTCGATTTCATGTTTATGGTCACGTGACCCCCCTAAAATGAGCTATGGTGCAAAACGAAGACTAACCTAGATATTCTGATCCATTTCAACTTGTTTAATGCTAGAGAAATATAACATAGGCCCAAGTCGCATTACAATCTAATCTGGGTCCGAGAATATTCAGAATTACATCAAAAGTAGCACGGTTTAATACTTACTTTTAATACTTTGACACCGCCGTGAAAGCAACACAACTGTTGAGCCTGGGCGCCCTGTGAGTAGTTCCAAACGTTCACTTATTATTGGTAGCCAATAGAAAATGGCTTTGACATAGTTCCACTTTTCGCATAAGATAATAGGAAACGTTTTTGAGTAGTTCGAGTTAACAAAGACTAATAGAAATAGAAATAAGTTTTGAACTGTTCCACATGTAACGCAACGTGACAAATAGAATTAAAATCTCCCGAGGGACCGTACCCTAATATATCGTTTTTTAAACTGGATCTTATTCTTGAAACGAAATTACAATAAAATATACAATGAAACATTGAAAATACAAAGTTTATTGCTTACATAGACAACAAAGAGAATAAATAATTTCAATTTATTCATTTTTTTTTTTGTAAAGCTTGAGTAGTTCCTTGGAACTTGTCTGAATCCACCCCTGGGGTGATTGTGTTTTGTCGTTTTTTTTCGGCAGCAGCTCAAAGGAATAAAAGCTTTGAAATCATTTTACTTGAGTTTTGTTGTTATTTTAGCGTTAGGTGTGTTTAGATTTTTTCAGCAAAGCATAATGCTTGATAAAAGCACGATACCATGTCATGCTCCCTCTCGGTGATCATCTGCAAATCGTACGGAGATTGTTGCTTTTTGGTCAAAGCGTTTTCGTTTTATAACTCTTATAGTATCCTCCGGTACAAATTTTTATTTCCAGTATAATTCATAGTACTAACTGTGTATAATTATAATATACAAACCTCATCAGAATCTGACTCATTCTTCAAAATATCCTTAACAGGGTTGGATAGTATGTATAGTGTGTCACGAGTACAAATGCTCAGCACCTGGGGAGCATCCCAGCGTAGATACTTCTTATGGTACTAGAAAATTCACCAACCCTAGCGACGCTGCCATGGGTTAGGGGTAGGGCAGGGTTAGGGGTAGAGATAGGGTTAGGGTTAGAGGAGTGCATTGGAGTGCTAGGGAGCGCTAAGGTGAAGTGCATGTTGGTTGGGAGTTTTCAAGTACCATAAGTACTTGGTAGGTACCCATCCCAGACAAAAGCCTTTGTTGTTTTTGGGATGTGCAGCTTTGTGGTACCAGGCATTATGCTGTTATTCAAAAATAAACAAGATTTACCTTGTCTACTGTTTCTAGTAGATAAAAAATATTTTTTTCAGTTCCCATAAGTATCATATTTCAAGATAACAATAAACAAAATGATCGCATAAATCATCAATATGGATTTGTTAAAGTGTTTTGGTTAGCTTTCGAGAAACAAAATTCAGATGATTGATGTGGCTCCCTCATCTTCTAGATTAAAATACTAACCTCAGGTAGCTGTAATGAAGTCCATCTGCTGCAAAACTATTAATTTTGTGGGTTTTTTTGCAGATTTGTGGGGTACTTTCGTCATAATTCGACATTTTCTTGTACATAGCGTACACAAGGTTTGAGTACAAAGCACTAAGCTTTTAAGTCTTGAAAAAACCCTGACAGCACAAATGTATTATACAACTATAATATAAAAATTAGGTAAAACCTAATTGCGGAGCTCCCAAAAGATATGGATGTTGGATGAAGATGTGTTGCAAGACACATTGGTAAGATTTTGAGTACATGTTTTGTCAAGACTAATTTATCTTTGCTAACAAAAAAAAATTCCATGGAATTACATTAAATAATAATTAAACTTTTTCTCTTTAGCTTTTTTGATGCAAAGCAGTGATAAATATAATTATATGTAAAGAAAACCACTTATTTTGAATTCTTATTTACCAAAATAAAACTTCCTTAGATAATATTGCAGAAATCATAAATCAATATTAATTATTAATATATTTTGAAACTTTGACAGTTTTGGTAATTTTCAATCATTAAAGGAATCATAAAATAATAACAAATGCATTTTGACAGTTTTGAAATTTTTCAAAAAAAAAAAATAATTAATATGTTTTTGAAATGTTCAAACTTTTTGATCTTCTAATGATTATG